GGAGAATTGGACGTTGGAGTCGCATGACATTTGAACTAGGCGCAAGCGATATCGCTTTCCCCGCGTGACATTGATCACAGCAAGATCAGACTGGGGTCCGCCAGCATAGCGACCGAGTCCATTGATGAGCATAGACGGAGCAACAGGTGCAGTGCCGATCAAATCAGGGGATACAGTATGATACCTAGCGATCCTGATTTAATCGAGGAGATTATCCATGTTCGTAAAACTCACCAGTCGGCAAGCGTGATCACGGTACTTGCTGGAAACACATGATGGTCAGAAGGTTCATATGAACGAATTTCTCGCTCACCATCGTCGACATCGTACAAGTATGCCAAAGGGTCGTGAGGATCATAGATTACCAGGGGTCCCCTTAGACCATCGCACTGTTCCATAGGTCAGTCCTCTACTGCACATGCAAGGTTCGAATTATGCTTGCATATTGGACGGAATAATGGCTATGATACCAATAAGTGCCCGCCTGGTTTGGGGCGGAGAAAGAATGTAGAAAAGAGTGGTTCGGCGTAATGGGGCATTGTGTGACGAAGGCCACTCCGTCGGCATAGTTCGTCCGATTCTGGTAGATGCCATGCCAGTGCTGCCATAAACAAGGTTTATTCTAACAACATCCATGATGATTAGAAATTGCTTACAACACTGGTAAGCACGAACATCGAGTCGTCGCTGAGTTTGTTGACCACCTCGATATTAAACTGATCTCCCTATTGTGAGGTCAGTACTGGCACCCGACAAGGAGGTTGAAAAAGTTCACCTTCTGGGCTGTAATCAAGGTTCCAGGAAATGTGCCATCGACAAGAGTTGTTCTGTCACAGATCAGGAATAAGTTTTGAGTACCGTGATAATAGACTCACGAGCGGTTGAAGCCATCGGGAGCGATGGCTTTATTGCCTATGGTTATTCTAGTTGTGGGACCATGTGGAGGGATCTGAGATAGTGGGTACTCTGAGCGAGATACCATAGCTGTAGCATTAATCGATGAGACAAGAGAGACGAGTAGAAAAAGGATTAACATCGCGATTTTCAGGATAGACAGTGATACTGTCATTGGCGAGAGTAGGATTAGATTATAATGCTCTCGCAGCTTTTATCTTGCAGCGGTAGATAGCCTGGAAGTGTTCCCGATCCGTTCAAGAATGATGATGTACCACAAAACCGTGATTCGGACATGACCCAGAACAAATTGGACGGCAAAAGGGCCAACCGGTTCCAGGTGTAGTGCTAGGCAAAAATAGCTTGCATCAAGTCTCCGTGTGCAGGAAGAAAAGAATATCAATCACTAAAGGCGCCTCTCCGTCAAGTACGGCGACTTTGCGAGAGATTTAGGCTATCGGTTGTAGGACAGAATTGACTACACTATTAGATACTATGTGGTGGCATCTCTGCAAAGAATGTCGAAAGGAGATGGCCGGATAGTCGAGGTACGATGAAGATGACCAAAGCTTGTGCCATTATTGGATCGTGCAAGTCGAGCTGAAGTGTCTATAGAGGACTCGTGATAAATGGAAGGTCAGTTGCTATCAGGTTATGGCAGTGACTGTAATTGCGGCACTGAAATTCACCAAATGCACGACCGCATACTACAGGCCGCAGATAGTGAAGTTGAAGTAAAATTTCGGCCTGGCTTATTACGGCCTGATGCCATGCCAAATAACATCACTAGTTAGTTATAGTCACTACAGCGTGGGCATGGCTTCCATATGAATGGATGGTTGGTTGGTTAGTACTAGCTCGTCGAAATGGTAGCTGGTGGAAGAAATGATAGGCTAAGGTTAGGGTCCGACTTGCCGTACGTAATTGTAAATTGCAGGATTGATTACTTAATCAGGCTATCAGTGAAGATCGCAAGCTTTTCGATACAATACTTATACATGCGCGCAGACGTTCTCTATGGTGAATCGTGCTTTGAAACACAACTTCTTCCGAGTTCCACATGCGATTGTCCTACATGGGTCGCCATGGACCTCCCCTTATTGCAAATCAACAGGGGTGTTTATGTATTCCCGAAGTTCCAATTAATATTATGCTGTTTGTATCTCTTTTATCATGGCGTTTGCTCGGTACCGGTAGACTACTATTCACACCCATTTAAGACCAATTGCAAATCAGGTACTTATTTGAAAAGTTGGCTAAATCATGTGATCGCATCCTCGATCCGAGTCTGCTCATCATACGCATCCGACAAACTTTCACATAGGCGGAAGGGTTCCCTTAATCTAGCACCAGCGTGACCAGTAACCTTGGAAGCAATTCGCATCCACCTGAACTCCACATGTTCTCCGAATCGCTCAACCGCTCACTAGATAGTAGTGACCAACGAGCACTTGACAGTTGCATGTGTTCTTTCTTATCTCCACCTCTACTCCTCCTTTTGCAATTGTGTTCTACTTGTTCCAATCAGCGACCATTCATTTCTCTCCTAACTCTACCGTACCATCATTCGGTGTCCACGTGTCCGTCTTCATCGTAGATTCGTGGAAGTTAACGTTCAGATCTCAGTTCCTCATATCGGAGAGATACATTGCCTGCCGTGTTACATTCTCTTTCAATCGGATCTGCGGGTTCAAGCTGGGCCGTATTGAAATCGAAAACAGTTTCCCCTGCGACTTCCTTATGCGACGACATTCAACTGATGTCAAGGGAGAGAGCCGTGCTAGACGCACTGATTCGTTGGCACACGGACAGCACATACCCCACTTTCAATAGTATAACGTCATCGAGACATTCGGACGCGATTTCCAAGAGAAGAGAAAAAAAAAACAGCAAACGTAGTGTACAGACGTCTCTTATTGTAACTCACGGTAGAAGATGTCCAAAGGTGAACGGAGCGCCTGTTGACAGTAAACGACGTTGGCGCCGATAGGTTTGTATCATGCAAACGAATGAAATCGCAAGGCTCGCACAATTGGTCGTCAACAAGTTATCTTGGGGGTATCTTTACAAATAAAACCGGGAGGTCCTCTCGGGCAAGCGTCCTCTTCGGTCCTTCTGGTGCAGCAGAAGGTGGTCGAGGCCGGTCTTCAACAGAGAGGTTGGGTAGCTCGATGGTGGGTGATTGATCCTGATCGGAAGGCGGATATAGATGCCATACGGCTGACGCTCTGGAACTTAAGCTTGATGGTTGATTAAGCTGCTCTTGGGCTAGATGTGGAATGTCGGCGAAAGGACTCTGCACCTGAGTCATGTGAGTTGTGGTTGTGTCGTAAGAATAGATCACACTCACCTAGGGACAGCAGACCGAACATAACACAACAAACTTCTGTGTCCGGCACTCTGAACTGCATCGTGACAGGAGGGGTAAGAATTTTTGATGGTGCAGCAGCAACGAAGGTGCATGTCGCATACAACGCGCCGACAGTGTCTGGCCCTGCTTGTGCTTGGTGGTTAACTTTGTTTTCAAACGCCAAAGATCATGTAACTTTGAGAACAAGCACGAGACCACAGTCTGTTGAACGGTCTTGGCTCGTCTTTGTTGACCTTAGATGAGCTTTGTTTGATCCTGACTGATGAGCGGTGCCGTGGATTACAAGGGCACCCATGCCAATTATACAGACTGCGAGAATGATGATAAGTTTGCGACAGGAAAGGAGCCTCGATTGATCCAGGTTGGGCCAGACGGCATAAGGAAATCCAACTTCCTTGACCAATCAGGGCATGACAAAGCTTTGAACCCTAACCTTAGCCTATCCATCTCTTTCTATCACCATTCATTAATGCTGACGAGCTAGTACCACGACTTGACCAGTCACCGCTGTACTTCATAGCATCTAATTAATGGCTTAAAACAACAACCAACCAACCAACGACATGCAATGCAACGTTGACCGACCCTCATGACTTCTATCCCTACTTGTCGCAGCTCAACTTGAAGGCACCTTCTCATGAGGATACCCTCGACACATCCTTTTAGACACCGTCTCTCTCCTCCACAGATAGTTTGGAGACACAATTTAATCACCACGGTCAATAATAGAGGTTTGATTTTTTTGATAGCTGTGCTTCAGTTTGGACACGATCTGGGCCGCTGCGTCGCGCCGCGACGGCTCTGACCTTTTGAAATAATACCTCAGGTCATAGACACCTTGGTTTGAATCCCTTGACTTTCCGACGCCAACTGCTTTATCCTTTCCTTTATCCTCGGGTTCCCGTGCCTCCAGTTAACTCGCAGTAGATTCTTAATGGCTCCCTCGCTTATGGAGTCTGGACCACTTAGCCGAGCCCTGTGAAGCCAGGTCCAAGCCATTATCATGGGCCTGGTTTATGAGGGCCTGAGGCAATGCCAAGCACATCACTAGTCACTGCAGCGGCGCCCCGGCTTCCAAAATCGACATCAACCGAGTTACTATTTGCCTGCGATCGTGGATTTGGTACACAATCATGGTCACTGTCATAGCCTGCCAGAAAATAACTGACCCTCCATCGGTGACGAGTCCTGGAAGGTCACTTCAGCCCCACGCCCACGATCCAATATCTGCACAACCCTTGGTCATCGTCATCACACCTCAACTATCATCAAGACTGCCGGCTGTCTCTTGTCAAAGTTCCGTACCGAGACATCTAAGTTCCTAGTGCATAGTCGGCACCACCGAAGTCCCGACATGCATGAGCACCTCGTACCTCACAGCGTGCGACCTTTTCTGCCGACAAATACTAGCCTGATACTCTCGCATGGCCGCTGTACTCCACGGAGAGGCACCACCAGTGATTGACATTCTTTTTTCCCCTGCGCATGAGAGTCGATTCAAGCTGTTGTGGTATCCTAGTACTATGAGGTCAATTGGCAGTTTCGCCGTCTGAGTTATTTTGGATCGTGTCTTAGTCATGGTGTCGTGGTACGTCCTTGAAGCTTTGAAAGCCCATCGACAGATCGTTGATAAGTCCAGGAGAAGTACACCGTTGACATGTGGATAACAGGGGTGCTGGGAAACCTTCTTCGGCGCAATCACACACCGATACAATCGAGAGGTACCAATACTTCGAACGAGAACGAAGGCTATCTACTGCTGCAAGATAAAAGCTGCAAGGACATTACAATATTTTCTTACCACTACTCTCGCGAACGATAGCATCGCTACCTATCACGATGTTTATTTTGTTTCTAGTCGTTTCTCTCATCTCATCGATTAATGCTGCATCCATAGTATCTCGCTCACAGTCCTACCCACTATCTCAGCCCGCTGTACATGGTCCCACAACTCAATTGACCATAAGAAATAAAGTCATCAGTCCCGATGGCTTCAGCCGCTCGTGAGTCTATTATCACGGCACTCAAAACTCATTCCTGATTTTGACAGAGCAATTGTCGTCAATGATAAATCTCCTGGACATTTGATCACAGGCCAGAAGGTGAAATTTTGTTGATCTCCTCGTCGGGCGCCAGTGCTGACCTCACAATAGGGTGATCTGTTTAATATTGAGGTAGTCAACCAACTCAGCGAGAAATCGATGTTCCTGCTTACCGGTGTCGTAAGCAGTGTCAAATCATCGATGTTGTCAAAACTAACATTATTTGCGGCAGCACTGGCATGGCATCAACCAGTATAAAACGAACCATTACGATGGGGCGCCCGGCATCACACAATGCCCCATTACGCCAGACCACAGATTTACATATTCTTTCTCCGCTCAGAACCAGACGGGCACTTTCTGGTATCACAGTCATCATTCTGTTCAATATGCAAGTATCACTCGCGGCTGGCATGTACAGTAGAGGACTGACCTATGGAACAGTGTGATGGTCTCAGGGGACCCCTGATAATCTATGACCCTGAAGACCCTTCGGCATACTTGTACGATGTCGACGATGGTGAGCGAGAAATTCGTTCATATGAACCTTCTGACCATTATGTATTTCCAGCAAGTACCGTGATCACGCTTACCGACTGGTGAGTTTTACGATCATGAGTAATCTGCCCAATTGAACCAAGATCACTAGGTATCATACTGTAGCCCGCAACTTGCTCCACACTACACCTAGGTCTGCCAATTCTACGCTCATCAATGGACTCGGTCGTTATGCTGGCGGACCCCAGTCTGATCTTGCTGTGATCAATGTCACGCAGGAAAAGCGATATCGCTTCCGCCTGATTCAAATGTCATGCGATGCTAACATTAAATTCTCCATCGATGGCCACAACTTAACTATCATCGAAGCAGATGGAGAGCTGACGAAACCTCTGATGGTAGATCAACTCCAGATTCTTGCGGGTCAGCGTTACTCCGTGGTTCTAGAAGCCAATCAGTCAGTGGATAACTACTGGATACGCGGTATTCCTAACAACGATCAAACCTACAACGGCGTTGCTATCCTACGCTACCACGGTGCCCCAAAGGCCGAACCGACTACGCTCGATACTCCATCCACGAAGCCATTGCAAGAGACCGATTTGCGTGCTCGAATAGATCACAATGTTCCTGGCATTCCAGAGTATGGTAAAGCAGATATCAACATTACCCTCGAGGTTTCCTTCAACGAAACAGAGTTCCAGTTCCATGTCAATGATACCGCATTCCAACCCCCTGATAAACCTGTTCTATCCCAAATTCTTGAAGGAACAGACCCTTCTCAGCTGCAACCACAGAAGAGTGTGTATGTCCTCGAGGCCAATAAAGTGGTAGAGTTGACGATGAAAATGAAAATGAAAAACGCTCCAGGTGGACCTGTACGTCTTTCCATTCATTCGATATTTACGTGACTAATATAGATCTATATTATACCAGCATCCCATACACCTTCATGGGGTAAGTTTGCTGTGACTTCGGAGGCATATTTGGCTGATACTCGTGATTGTTAGCATCCATTTGATGTCATACAGAGCGCCGGCAGCAAAATTACCAATTATGTGAACTCCGTTCGCCGCGATGTGGTCGGCATTGGGTGCGATGATGCGGTCGCTGAGTGCGATGAGGACCAAACGGTGATCCGATGGTTCACTGACAATTCTGGCCCCTGGTCATTGCATTGGTATGACATCAATTCTATCAAGTTGTCAAGAAGGGTGCTGACTCTGAACAACAGTCATATTGACTTCCACCTCGAGGAGTATGTGTGTGAATCTTCGCGTGAACGAAATGGCTAATCCTTCATATGCAGAGGCTTTGCCGTGGTGCTGGCGGAAAGCCCCCAGGATACTCCCGCACATGTGAGCCCCGTGCCAGGTAGGTCATACGTCAGAATCCGTTCTTCTATTGCTGAACTGCTTTACAGGCGAATGGAATCGCTTATGTCCAATCTATGAGGAATACAAGAGGACCCACCCTGACGGGATCTGAGGCAGATTCGGATCTTGATTGAACAACCCCCAACTGTCACGTTAGTGGAAGGAGCACTTTCATTCTACTCAATAACGATGTTATTTGACCATTTTATTTCGTGCACGAGATGTTAGACAACAAATAAATCAGGCACGTTATTGATTAGACATTTTGTTTGCTATTCTATTTCGTACTCGGCATACTGTGTTTGAAGTTTTCTATGCGAGAGAGCTGTAGCTGAGTGAGACCGTTGAACTTGAACGCGACACTGTTCAATATCGCGAACACTAATGCTGACATGGACTAGCAAGAAACAGCGAAACCAAGTCTTAAAATGCCTCGCTGGAGAGATGTGGAGACGGTGGCCGAAGAATTTTCTGCCTTCTGCCAGTGTTAATCATATGGCCCGTGACACATTGTTAGCGTTCAGATCAGAGAAGTATGGAAATGGGAAGGCGCTGGTGCTCAGCGTTCAGTGCTGGCAAGAGTCAGTCGAAAATCATCAGAAAAGAGCGAAGTAAGCGAGACAACCGAAAAATGGTCGAGAGGTGGGCATAAGTGAGTTCAAACAAGCAATAATGAATGTAGACAAAGCAAAATGACTAGAGATTAGCGCCAGTGCAGGCAAGCGACGACGAATGCAGAGAAAAGTGAGAGTGAGTGGAGACAACGTGCACACACCTATAATATACTCCTTAGTGCTTGGTTCCATTTAGTTTTCCAATGGGCGTTGCAAGAAGTGTGTAGCGCAGCGAGTGCGAAAGGGGTGTGTAGACCGCTTGTAGGATGTATAGATAGTAGAGTTGGAGGATCGTGACTGAATGCGATATGATAAAGATTGTGGCGAGTCCGAGATGATAAACGTTGAGAGTATGCTGTTAGATAACGAATGCGAAGATGAGATTTTGATACTTGTTATATTTATTATTGCCTCGAGTAAAAATTGTACATGGGTACTTGTACTTGCAAAACGGTAAGAGCCTCAGGTATGGCTAGGCCGAACGATTATGTGAAGGTGGAAGCAGAAGGAAGTGGCACGGCACCTGACAGGGTAGAATAATGATGATGAGAAAGAGGGTAAGAGAAAGCAATCAGTGGGTGTACGAATATCGTGTATACCAAGTGACGAGAGTCGTATAGATGATTTATTGACAGATTCCAGGTCAGTGGGCTGCGAATGGGGTTGAACAAATCGGTAGCGACGAAGGATCGTGCTGAAGTGCTGATTGATGACACCAGTGAGCTGAGGTCATGGCTGCGGTAAACGTTGGTAATCCTTACAGCATATTACTTTCTCAAACTATAATGTGGGCGGCGCATCAGAGAACCTGTGAGAAGAAGATAAGTATCGTCATATATCATTATATATCGTAATATAAGGTTGTCACATTGGAATATACAGTGATATAAAGTAATATATGACTATGTAAAAGCACCATAATCAGCATAATCCCCAGTAAGAACTCACCGGTTTACTGATGCGGCCCGTAGTAGCACTAGTACTAGTACTGTTGTTAACGTTGAACGTTGAACGTTGAGCAAACGTTGAGTCACCTGTAAACAATTGTGCAATTTACATTATGTAATCAATCACAAGTTCTGACCCTAACCATAGCTTATTACTTCTCCTTCTACCAACCATTCCGACGAGCTAGTACCAACCATATAGAAGCCAGGCCCATGGCCGACGCTGTAGTAACTGTCACTAGTGATGTGCTTTGGCATGACCTCAGAACCCCCGTAAGCCAAGCCTCAAATCAACATGAACTTGACTATATGCGGCCTCGTATATTTGGTTAGTTTTGGTACCGCAATCACAGTCATCGTCATAGCCTCCCAGCTAATAACTGATCCTCCGTTGATTACGAGTCCTCGATGATCACTGCACGATCCAATAATGGCACAATCTTTGGTCACCCCATCGCGCCTCAACTACTAGGCTACCGGCTATCACCTTTCAAAATTCTGTGCAGACACCGAAGTGGCTAGACACACTCGGCACCTTCCAAGGTCCTGACATGCTACCATCACATAGTACCTAATAGCGTATGACCATTTCTGTTCGACAACTAAATGTCACATAGCCTCCGTACTTGACGGAGGGGCACCATTGGTGACTAACCTTTTTCTTTTCCTGCACACGAAGAGTTGATTAAAATTATTGTGGCCTAGCACTACACTTGGGGTTGGCCGTTTCGTCGTTTAAGCTATTTTGGATCGTGTCCGATTCACGGTTTCGTGGTATCTCATCATTCTTGAACAGATCGACAGATCGTTGCTACAACGCTGACTCCTGTTGCAGTACACCGTTGAGACCGGGGCGCCGAGCACCCTTTTTGCAGTGCAATCACATGCTGATAAAGTTGTAAGGTGCCAATTGCTTTGAAATGGGAACACTTCAAGGCTATCTACCGCAAGATAAAAGCTGCAAGAGTGTTATAATATTATCCTGCTTTCCCCTACTCTCGCCAACGAAAGCCCCACTATTCATCGTGAAAGATCGCGATGTTTATTCTCCTTCTAATCGTTTCTCTTATCTCATCGATTAATGCTACAGCCATAGTATCTCGCTCAGAGTACCCGCTATCTCAACTCCCTGTACATGGTCCCAAAACTAGATTAACCGTAGGCAATAGCATCATCGCTCCCGATGGCTTCGCACGCCCGTGAGTCTATTATCATAGCGCTCAAACTCATTCCTGATCTTTGACAGAACAACGCTTGTCGATGGCATGTTTCCTGGACCCTTGATTGCAGCCCAGAAGGTAATTTTTTTTAACTTCCTTGTCGGGTGCCAGTGCTGACCTCACAATAGGGAGATCACTTTGATATCGAGGTGGTCAACAAACTCAGCGACGACTCGATGTTCGTGCTTACCAGTGTTGTAAGCAGTTTCAAATCATCATGAATGTTGTTAAAATCAATCTTGTTTATGGCAGCACTGGCATGGCATCTTCCAGAATCGGACGAACTATGCTGATGGAGCGGCCTTCGTCACACAATGCCCCATTACGCCGAACCACTCTTTTTTACATTCTTTCTCTGCTCCAAACCAGGCGGGCACTTATTGGTATCACAGTCATTATTCCGTTCAATACGCAAGTATCGCTCGAACCTTGCATATGCAGTAGAAGATTGACCTATGGAACAGTGCGATGGTCTCAGGGGAGCCCTGGTAATCTATGATCCTCACGACCCTTTGGCATACTTGTACGATGTCGACGATGGTGAGCGAGAAATTGGTTCATATGAACCTTCTGACCATCATGTCTTTTCAGCAAGTACTGTGATCACGCTTGCCGACTGGTGAGTTTTTCGATCATGAATAATCTGCCCGATTGAATCAGGATCACTAGGTATCATACTGTAGCTCCCGAATTGCTCGGCACTGTACCTGTTGCCAATTCTATGCTCATCAATGGACTCGGTCGCTATGCTGGCGGACCTCAGTCTGAGCTTGCTGTGATCAATGTCACGCAGGGAAAGCGATATCGCTTGCGCCTAGTTCAAATATCATGCGACTCCAACGTCCAATTCTCCATCGATGGCCACAACTTAACTGTCATCGAAGCGGATGGACAGCTGACAGAACCTCTGGTGGTAGATCAGCTCCAGATTTTTGTCGCCCAGCGCTACTCTGTTATTCTAGTAGCCGATCAGCCAGTGGATAACTACTGGGTACGCGCTCTTCCTAATACGGCGAATGCGAACTACAGCGGAGGTTTGAACACTGCTATTCTTCGCTACAAAGGTGCCCCAGAGGCTGACCCGACTACGCCCAATATTCCTGCCACGAACCAATTGCAAGAGAGCAACTTACATGCTCTTCTCCATCGCGGTGCTCCTGGCATTCCAGAGTATGGTAAAGCCGATGTCAACCTCAACCTCCCGGTTACCCTTAATGCCGGAAATTTCTATGTCGATAATGTCACATTCATAAACCCCACCGTTCCTGTTCTACTCCAAATTCTTAATGGAGCTCGAAACGCTACTCAGCTGCTCCCAGCCGGAAGTGTGTACGTTCTCGGGGCCAACAAAGTGGTAGAGTTGACGGTACCAATAGTCAGCGCTCTGGGTGGACCTGTACGTCTTTTCCATTCATTCGATGTTTACGTGACTGACATATACCAGCATCCTATACACCTTCATGGGGTAAGTTCTCCATGACTTCAAAGGCATGCTTGGTTGATACTCATGGTTATTAGCATGCATTCAGTGTCGTAAAGAGTGCAGACAGCAGTACCTTCAATTATGTGAACCCCGTTCGCCGCGATGTGGTCAGCGCTGGGGTCATTGGGCAAGAAACAGTGATCCGATTTGTCACCGACAATTCTGGCCCGTGGTTCTTGCATTGGTATGTCATCATTTTTTATGGAGTAGTCAAGAAGGATACTAACTCTGAACCAACAGTCACATTGACTGGCACCTTGCAGCGTACGTGTATAAATCTTCCCGTGAACGAAATGACTCATTCTTCATTTTCAGCGGTTTCGCCGTGGTAATGGCAGAGAGTCCCCCAGATACTCCCGCGCATGTGGACCCCGTGCCATGTAGGCCGTATGTCAAGAATCCGTACTTCTATTGCTGAATTGCTTTACAGATGAATGGGATCGCTTATGTCCAATCTATGACCATCACCCAGATCCCACGGTCGCTAGCATGACTGAAATTTACTCTGCATAGTTAGATCACCCTCTCAATCACTATGGGCCGGCGGTGGCGCCATGAACCTTGCTTGACTTTCTTATTGTTTACTGCGACCTAATCCAACAGGGATAAATGTGAATCTTATTGTACACTTTCAAATCTTCATGCACATGACGGACATGTGGGGTTCTGATCTCTAACTTGGGTGTCCCTTCCTTGTATTCGTGTTCTGTCGGCTGCATTCTCCCTTCCAGTGTGTCTATATTTATATTCCCCGATACATACTATGTTGGATGGAGAATGGAGTGGAGAAGGTTTCTGTAGAAAATAATGCCGTCTATCATTTGAAGCGTGGAAAACGCTTTCCGGTTGCCGATAATCACGATGCAGAATCCAGATGATATGATCCCAAGGTGTCCTCTGCCTCAGCCAAATCAAAATCATTTGTCCTTTGCCATGTCTCGTGTACAGCGCGACATATCATGCTGCCTGCAATGTCACGTCTTCAAGATGGATGAGTGCTCTTCGGACCTTGTGGAGATTCGTGCCTTCGGAACGTGTCCGTCGAAAATGGATTAGTGCACAATGCACGGGTCTGCATCACCGCTCTTCATCAAAGATTCATTGAGATTCGTATTAGATGTGGCCACATGCTCCTCTCAGCTCTGCGCTCAGCATAATTTCTTTTCCCTTAAGGTTCTCCGACTCCATGGCAAATGTCAGTGGAACTGAGTAGTTCGATTCTCCGTTCATTTACAGTGTTGTCATCCAATGCTCACAGCTTTAGAACCCTGCAGCGGCGTCAGCCCTGCACCATTTCTAACTTTGATAATGCAATTCTTCCTACTCTGAAACAGTTCGACTCCGGATCTCAAAGTAAATGAGGTACTACTACTACATGTCGGCAGAGTGAGTTATGTAAGACCTCAATATTCAATCACCACTCACCAAGTATATTGTCTAGTCATTTATAAGGAGTAGCTTATTACTTGTTATCTGACTTCGTCGGACCTTCTTTATTACCCGGTGATGCACTGTTCCTGTTCCTGTTCCTGTTCCTGTACCTGCACAATCGCCACAATCGCCCGTTCACTACCTTTCTCGATGACTCCCGGTCCAGAAAGTCCCCTCTTGCTCCATATTTCCCCCGAATTTCTAAGTTCGTCTGTCTAGGGAAGACGGCTTTGACAGGATGGCTGGGAGCGATCCCATAGGAAGCTCGACTTGGTGGTCGAAATCGATCTGATTGTTTGATCCTTGTTTACCGTCCGCTAGGGTCAAGCCTTATGTTGGACACTACCTACGCTATAGTGCCGTGTCTAGTCTATTTCCGTTGTCCGTATCACGGTGTCTATGCTGTACAATGGTCCCGGGTTGCACGAGGACGATAAGGCCTTCTTCAGGCTCTCGATATGATGGCATGTTTTGTTGCGCTTCCTCTACTCCTCCGTCTCTTTTTTTGGGGGTGACGTCTCCGTGCCTCAGTCTCCTTGTTCTCGCCACATAGGCTAGAACTAAACAGGTGTTGATGTTGCGCTATCTTAGGCCGACCTCTACGCATCACCTCTCTCTGGTTGACGAAAGCTGGGCATACGAGAAGAAACCCGATTGGATTTGGCCAGCCCTTGATCCCATGACCGACTGTATCTCGTGGCTGAACTGTATCCTGCTATCGAAACTTATCCTCTGCTACCGCACTCCATGCCTTGCAAATTCTGCTTTTAGGATTAGTAGTACCGAACCACACATAGTGCACCTTGCTCTCGTCGACGGTCGGATTTCAAGATGTTCGCAGTACTGGTCATGATACCCGCCTGTAATTACTGTTCTTGCAGGTTGTGTTCCAGATGAGCTTCTGGGATAGACTGGGTACTAGGATATTATTGAGTCATTCGACTCGGACGCTTACTTTTTTTTTGAATCCTTGTTTATTGTCCGGTGGGACTGGGCCCTATGCTGGACATTACCTACAATGTATGTACTTTATCTAATGTCATATGTGCGATGTTTCTATGTGTAACCATGATACTGGTCCAAGCATATGCGAGTGACGCTTACTTATCTGATATACATTGTACCAGCCTCCCATACATCTTCATGGGGTAAGTTCTCCTGACTTCTATGGCGTAGTCTGGCTGGTACTGATGAGAATAGTATTCCGTCCGTGTCATACAGAGTGGAGGCAACGGTACCCTCAATAATCATTACGTGAACCCAGTTCTCCTCGACGTCGTAAGCGCTGGCGGTCTACAACAATTCTGGCCTTTGGTTCTTGCATTGGTATGACATCGTTGCTATCGAGCCGTCAATGATGGTACTGGCTTTGAACCAACAATCACATGAACTGGCACCTTGAAGCGTATGTGAAAGTCCTCGCGAAAGAATTTTCTAATCCTTCATATCCAGCGGTTTTGCCATGGTAATGGCTGGAGGTCAGCAACTTGCGCAAATATGAACCAAGTGCCAGGCAGGTCATCTGTGAAGAATCTGAATTTTCATGCCTGAATTTCTTTCCAGGCCACGGGATCGGTCATGTCCGACCTTTAATGCTCTCACCCTTACAGCTGGGGGGGATCTCAATTCGTACGAGGCAGCTTCTAATATTTCCACTGACCTTTACTCACCACCTGCAGCGCTCCGCTCATCCACATAGTAGTAGACGCCCCACTCATTTTCAGTTATCAAGGTTTGCAGGACAACAGGATGCAAGCGAATTTCTTATCCTACTTAGATATTTCAAGTACTGCTATGGTCAACCCTCTGCCTCATTATCAATTATGATACGGTACTGGCTGATGCTAGTCTCCAGTATCTGGTTGACCCCGTACAGGATATGATGATTAGCCTTACTATAGGTGTATCTTGACTACATACTTGATGCAGCGCTTGTCAAATTTATACTTCATCGACACTTGAAGCTTGAAGCTTGCCACCTTGCGTTCTATTGACGTCGAAATGATCGAGTATGCAGGGACCCGGTACTTGTCGGGCCTATCTTCTTGAGCGCGAGGTTAGACAACCTGACGCATATGGCTGTACTAGACATTCGATCACGTCCTACAAAACTGTACGCCGACGTAAATCTCGTGTACAGGTCTGGTAAGGGCTTCGCATATGCTACGCCATTCTGTGACCAATTTAGCTTGTCAGCCTCCAGTCCAAAGCCATACTTATTAACATGTCAACCACATACCCACCCTCTCTCACACACTCCACCATCAGTGTTCAAGTGGGGCATCTTTGACTGCCGACGTGCCAATCCGATCTTCACCACTACCATGGCCCCTTCGAGCAGCACCATTTCTCCTACAGCAACTGCCGCATCCTCCGCGGACCAGTCACATAAGCGTGCTTTCCCATTCGCAGCGCTCATTTTGCTCGCTTTGTGCATCGTATACATCATTGGTTACCTCGTCTACCATCGGATCCTGAAATCTTGGAACGCTAGGCAGAACGCGGAGAAGGTGCAGAACTTCCCAAATGAGTTCTTTGAGAAAAAGCCGAGAAGTACGTTCGATAGTCTGTCAGCCACTTTGCATCGAACTCACAAGATGGTGATGAACATGAAGGACCGCCTCGCTTCACATGGACTCAGGGCATACGGAAGAGCGAGGCTATTGGAGAAAATGCAGAGTTAGAGGCATATGTACGTGGCAGCCTTATCGTGCATGCATTTACTCAACGATTTTCTCTTCCAGCATTCCTTTTCGAGCTCCCCTGATGGAAAACCCCTCGTTTCACCACCGCCTGTAGCTGTGGTCAAAGAGAATGCGTCCAGTGGTCCAACTATCACCCAATCGCACAGGGACGTTCGCGCTACATTTCCCAAGCGTATTGCAAGAGCTGCTAGGGAGAAGGGGTCGCGAGTGCTCTCGCGTGGTCGTGTGACAGAGATTGAAGCTGACCCAAAGCTTGCACCTGTGCAGGGGCCACTCAGACCACTCTCGATCTTGTCGTCAAAGAACAAGGAGAAAGAACGGGTGTCATTCAATTGGGTGTAAAGTCTTGGTTCCAGTTTGTTTATTCGTCATTCGTTTGTTGTATTTTGTTTGATTCTATTTTGTTTTGGGGTTGTCATGACAGTGACGACACAAGCCTCCGACGTCGAACAACTCTTGATCACTTTAACAGCTGGGGCTAATCTCTGTGCTACATGCTGAGCGGTACAGATACACCAGCGCCAGGTCAAATGAACTTTGATTTGTATATCACATCCTGTCCAGAGATGGTGCAGTGGTGCTACAAATGTGATACAATGATTTCGACAGTCATATGAAACCGGATAAATTAATATGTGTATCGATGATAGGCAATGACAACATAGAAGACGCTTTAGAATTTGAGCGATTCAACTCCTTCTCATCATCATGAGTCGCATATGAGGTGGGACTGGCAGCGCGATCGTCGAGTAAGTAGCGTTTTTCTTCATCTGCCGACTCGCGAGGTGAAATGGCCCGGGAACGTATGGTCTCCCCAATTTTTGGGATCTTTGGTAGCGCACGATTCCTGTTCGCCCGCGTGATAGCTTCGTTGGGAGAGTCGGGGGCAGAACTGGACTCCTTTGCGTTGGTGATGTATTCTCGGGGAAGGAAGTCATCGAAAGTCTTTGCGGGGCGCTTGACAGAGCGGGCACGGATGAGAGCAGGGTCCCTGCGTTCTGCGTAGGGAGAAATGTAAGCAATTGGGCGTCATGTTGGGGGTCACGAACTCGCCTGTTATGGTCACACTGCGACGAGGAGTGGCAGGTGCTGACACAGGTCTCAGAACACCATACGTCTCTCCTGAAGGATTCTGGTAAAGTTGACCGGAGCGGTCGCGGAAAATATACTGCTGGGTATCAGCATCATATGCAATCCGCTTTATGCCCTCCGGAAGACGGTACGAATCCTGGGAGTCATGGTGATTAGTTAGCTGACTGTAGGTTACGATGACAAACTGGACTGCTAGTCCACTACGAACTTCGTCAAAATAAGCCATAAGATGGATGATGGAAGTTGAGAATGAAGAGATGAATGATCCATGTTGTAGTCCCAGAGACTCCTATGTATAGTATCGAGCACCACAGTCGGCACGTGACGACTGCGCTGAAATCAGTACAATCAAAAACTTTTGGCTATGTCAACGTTGGAGACCAAGGGAAAATGGCAACCAATAACTGAAAGACGGTCAAATTTGCCCATTAGACAAGGTACCATACGAGAGGTTTACTTAGTAAGATGCACAAATATGGTGTCAAAACCCACGAGTCAAATGAATAGGGACGATATCCACCTAGTGACTGAGTAAAAATAACCAAAGAACAACTGTGTAGAAACTCATCTCTGATGCCAAGGAATCCTATATGTATATCTGACAGATAGGAACTGATCATGATACTCTCTCATGGTATTGTGATTGCGCGTTGTCTTACTCTTCGGTATGCGTGATCGGAGGAGGACGGACTGCTAGTTGGTATATATGCACTTGATTAGTTTCGCTTCGTTACTAGTACTTATCACGTCCTTACCTGGCCTGTTAAGTTATTGTGGAGGATTATCGAGGCTGAACACGAATCCTTGTTAGTCATTGCTTAAGCAGAGTGCTTAGTGACACCGACAATTAATCTCCTCCTAGCTAGTGCGGTAGAAGAATGAAAGTAATCGTGTCAACGTTGACGACCATGTCAGTACTTGCAACTTGCATGTCAGTTGTGAAAATATCTGAGTGCTATCTGAGTTAACAGCACAACTTGTGGTTAGGGTTCCGAATGAAGACGATAGCTTTCTAGCAGAACGCGTCACTGCTCGTCGCGCAACCAACCAAGACTTATATCTCCCTCCTTTAATTACATTCACTCAAGATGCCGCTCGAGGCAACGATGATGATAATCGACAACTCAGAATACATGCGTAATGGAGACTATATCCCATCCCGCTTCGAGGCCCAGTCTGATGCTGTCAAGACCATCTTCCAGACCAAGATTGATTCAAATCCAGAGAACACTGTTGGCGTCATGACAATGGCTAGCAAAGGGTACAACTCAGTTACATGTGCAAACTACGATTGCTAATGTTTTCTTTCAGGCCCGAGGTTCTCGTGACCCATTCGAAAGACATTGGACAGATCATCAAGGCCTTGCATGTAACATCATCGAAAATTGGCGGGTCAATAGATATTCCTACTGCCATTAACATTGCCCAGCTTGCACTCAAACATCGAGAGAACAAGAATCTGCGCCAGAGGATAATAGTCTTTGTGGGATCTCCGCTACAAGGACAGGGAGCGGATGAGCGGGAAATGGTGAAGCTCGCAAAGAGATTGAAGAAGAACAATGTTGCTGTTGACTTTATTGCATTTGGTGACGGCGTCGAGGAGGAAACTAATGTCCTCAAGGCTTTCGTAGACAATACAACGAATAGCGATAATTCGTGAGTATCACCTTGTCAGAATGCGTGCGTAGATTGATGCGCCTGGTCATTTAGACATCTGGTGTCTGTACCACCTGGTACACATCTATTGTCAGATGTGATTATTTCTTCCTCAATTCTGTCGGAAGACCGGGGCATACCACCAGAGGCGATGGGAGACGTCGGTGGTGCATCGGGTTCTGGTGGTGCCAACTTTGAATTTGGTGTTGACCCGAGTTTGGACCCTGAGCTTGCATTGGTGCGTTGCTTTTTTTGACATCGAATACGGAGTCTTGTTGACATTTTATCTTATTTAGGCCCTTCGCATGTCTATGGAAGAAGAACAAGCTCGCCAGGCAGCGGAAGAGCAAACACGTCAACCGGCTACCGATGCCACACCTCAAGCGGAATCAGCAGGGGCAGACAAGGATGAAGAGGCCATGCTCGCTCAAGCTCTCGCCATGTCCGAACGCAATGATGTTGACATGGGTGAGGAGCAAGACGAAGATATGGATGAGGAAGAGGCAATTGCTCGGGCAATTCAGATGAGTATGAAGCAAGAGGAAAAAGAACAGGGAGGACAGTAGTACCAAGCTTACATATTCTTACTTGTATTTTCCTCCGAGTTGCACTCCGATTTCTCGAACGGCTGTTAGTTTGATATTGGCGCTCAGGCGCTGAGCGCTCTGAGCAAATACTCATAACAACAGGCACAGCCACTTCGACCTCATTCCGAGTCCGTTCGTTTCCTCAGATTCTTCCCTTGACGTCTTCTTGAAATCCTCTATGCCATCATCACTCACTGCATCCCAGGAGGAGCTCAAGGCGGCCAAGGTGCCTTTGGCTTGGAGAGATCAGTGCTCAGCGTACGTACCTACTTTACCCTTCTGGTTGAAAGCCTATGACCCACAACCACAATACTGTTGTCCGTGATACTTCAGACTCTTGATACCTTTGAATACCTGTCGGAGAGAAAACTATTATTTACCTTGGACTTGCGAGAATGAGCGCCACGGCTATGAGAAGTGAGTTAAATCTCTACTTTTCTATCTGTTGAGAGTCTGACCAATACACACCCAACAGGTGCCAATACGATGAGTAGGCATTTCGACCACATACCTACACATATGACGCTCATTTTTTCTACAGCATGATGCGGAGGATGAAGAAAATGTCAAAACTGGAACTCCAGCAGGCAGAGTAGACTGCAGAAGCTACCGAAGCTATCATCTAGGAGACTTTCTTAAGAACGCTTCATGTCAATCGATGTCGAGACGTCAAACAATGCAACAAGATAGATGAATGGTGTGATATGCTGAAGGCAAGATGCTATTATGTGCTGGAGTTCTACACTTTCCTCCCTGTCTCTTTCTCAAACTCTGAAATTTCCTTTTTTACCCGCTCAACGACTTCATCTGGTGTACTGCTCTGCCCAAACGCTTCAACAAACTGCCCATTTGGATCCATGAGGTAGACGTATATTGAATGGTCGACGAGGTAGTCACCCTTGGGATCTGCATTAGGCGGGGTGGAGAAGTAGACGCGGTAGGCTTTGCATGTGGTTTTCACGGTTGCATAGTCACCCGTGAGACCGATGATACGAGGGTGAAAGTCTGCGAGATATGTCTTCATTTGAGGGATAGAGTCGCGTGCAGGGTCAACAGAGATGAATACAGGCTGGAAGATCGTCCCATAATCCTTCTCTGTATTTGATGTGGTGAATGCGTCCCGCCGTTGAAGTGACTTATGAACACGAACCTAGAGAAGTCAAGACTGAGCCAATCTTGTCTAATTCAGCAGGACATATGTCGGGACAGTTGGTGAAACCAAAATAGACGAAGTTCCATTTCCCCAGAAGGTCTTTATCAGAGAAAGGCTTGTTTTCGTGAGTCGTTAGCGTGAAGGGACCACCCACATGCGGTCGTCCGACGCTTCGAGATTCAAGCTCCTTTTCTGTATGAATATTTTTTCTTGAGATGCTCTCAATGGGTGGAATACGGAGAAGCACGTACGTCGTTGTTCGAGGAGCTTTTGCTTCTCATAACGGAAGTAGTAAAATAAACCAATGCCGGTTGCAACGAATAGAGCTGCAGCCTTTGGCGTAAAGACCTGGGATCAGATGCAAGAATGTGAACAGAGAACAACAGGTGAGCTGAAGAAACATACCCCGACAGCAGCTCGATCCCGTTCCCCCGATGTAAAATAACGTCTGCCAGGTGCTGTTGGTTTGTTGTGGCGCATACATATAGATTGTCGTTGGCATTGAATGCCGCGACCTGGCATACAGGTCCGCAATGACCTGAAATACTTGGATGAGAGCTTTGACATCTTCAGGTCGAAGTTCCAAAAGTAGTCGAGCTTGACAATCATATATAATTCTCAACATCTCAACATCGCTACAATTTACAAATAATTTTGCACGGCAATGCTTAGCTACGGGGTCACGGTGCTCTCAGATTAAACATGCATCAACGTGCTGCGTGAAGTCGCTAAAGGCCGCCATCATTTTCGAAGCTTCAACTTGTTACATAAAGAATGCATTAATGGAGTCCTTGTAGGTCCAAGACTCCAACCACTGTTGACAGTCGACTATCATGTGGTTATCTACTTTAGCATATGTGACATTGGCAACTGCCGCAACGCTGCAACCAATCACTTCGACAAACATCGAGGGAAGCGTACGTTCCTCCGAGTCCAACAGAAACATCATCGAGGACGGTAGGTCGCACTCTTATTTACGACGAACATCAAGTTAAATTCAGGAAAAGGATGGGGAGCGGTAAAATGTGAGTACGAACTACTCGGCTTTCAATAACCTCCTAATGTCAGAAATGATCGACAGCACTATTTGACAATCCCGCAAAAATCACAGACACGATACACGGTCAATTTGGTCACCTACTCATTTCTTAAGGTGCTGCTTACAATATAACAGAAGAATTTGATTCTTTGTCTGCTTCAGCGCACGCGTGGTACGAATCGCAATTTCCAGACACGGGAGAGTCTTTCTGGGACAAAATCATAGAGCTTAGTCCATATGTCAAGGATTATAGTGACGAGCTTTTTCATCACGCCATGGAGCTGTATCCATCCGAGAAGCTCGCGGAGTTCAGGGAATCTATGGTTAACGTCACTGCCACTGCCACTGTACTGCATAAAGTCTGTAGTGACGCTGCAGAGGACAGTGGCGTCTCTCTCTACTCCGTAACAGAAGAACTTGAGGACATCTTCACTGTCCTATTCGAAGAGCTTATGGAGATGTTCCCGCCACCTAACGAGGCTCCTGGTCATAACAACCGTACAATCATGATCAGCACGGCCCTCGATCGCATTGAGCAAAGTTTTTTACAGGTCGCTACCAAGGTCGGAGTCAGCGAAGAATTGTTGCAAAGTGACTCTAGTTCTCTCAAGCTTGCTGTTCAACAGGTTGCCGTAACCACAGGTACGTCGCGATCATCTGGCCATTTTGGAACATTGACGACATAATATTAAATGATACAGGAGACCTTGTCGAACAGCATCCCGTCATCGCCCGTGCCCTCTTGCTCGTTGCGATTGATATTTTATTACCTGAGATCGAAATCAGTGGATGGCTTCTTCCCCAACTTCTCCGTTTGTTCGGATTTGGACGGCAAGGACCAATCAAAGGTACGCTTTTGTATACTGTTGCGGTGTTGAGCAGCATATTACTGCGATGTTTTAGGTGGAATTGCTGCGTGGGTGCAACGTTGGATATTTGGTGCCAACATCCCAGCGGGTAGCTGGTTCTCGGTACTCCAGCGCCTAGCCATGATGAGTACAAAGCTTTAAGTATCATTGAAGTTGTTCGGGTTTCAGCAGTCGTTTGTTTCATGTCATGGAAAACCCTCGGGGTCTGTTTTTATGTTTATACTTAAGAGACGATTTTTGATACCTCAAGTGTATTCCAGATTATATGTTGTAAATGTGCTCGAGCACCCATGAAATTGAACCTAGGATCCAACCCAGTCAAGCAGTCTATTTGACCTTCCCTGTTTTTTTTTTCGCAGTTGATACTGATAGCGTGGGCGTGTGAATCGTGTAGGTCCTGGTAGGTCCATGTGATTCGGTGAAAAAAGTCAACCGTCAGGCCATCTATTCACAAGTCTTAGTACTGCGATGCGGTTCTCTATTCTAGCATTTGTTGCATTGATACTGCAACCTGTCGTGTCCAGCAACATTGAGGAAAGTACTTGTTCTTACGACAATGAAAGTTTAGAAGTGGCCAACGAGGGAGGTATGTCGCCTCTTGGTCTCTAGAGAGGAGACTTTTGATTTCGTCTCGGAAAAGGATGGGGACTAGTGAAATGTGAGTACATCCGTGGCTACCATTTTCAATCATTCAATGAGAAAGTGTCAACAGCGGCATTGTTCGGCAAGTCAATGCAAGTTGCAGAAACATTACGTGGTCACTTTGATGGCCTGCTCAGTCATGAAGGCGCCAATAGTCTCACAGAAAAACTTGACTCTTTGTCTGCTTCAGCATACACGCTGTACGATGGATTGCACATTCCAAGTGCGGGAGAGTCCTGGGACAAAATCGTGGGGCTCGGTTCAAATATCCAAGGGAATGTAGATGAACTCTTCCAACATGCCAAGGAACTTTATCCCTCAAAGATATCGGAGTTCAAGAAGTCTGTGAATAGTGTTGTCAGTACAGCTACATCACTGCACCAAGTCGTCAAAGGAGCCGCAGAACAACGTGAAATTCCTCTCGATTCAGTATTAGACGAACTTCGAAATACCCTGCATGTCCTATTTGAAGAGCTTAAGGAGCAGTTCCCGCCACCCGAGGAGGCTCCCGGTCATGAGAATCGTACCCTCATAATCAACACAGTTCTTGATCGCGTCGAGGAGACTTTTCTACGGGTTGCCATCAAGTACGGAGCAAGTGAGGAAGTCCTGAAAAATCACACCAGTTCTCTCATGTCTGGTGTTCGACATATTGTGGGGATCGTCGGTACGTCACAACTATTGAACCATTCTCGGACGTTGATGCTTTAATATTAAATGATACAGGAGACCTTTACGAACAACACCCTCAGCTGGCATGGACCTTCTTTAGCATTGCGATTGCCCCGCTATTTGCACAGGGGCTTCTTCTCTCAGCCCTCAGGATATTTGGATTTGGGCCATTGGGACCAATTGCAGGTATGTTTTTATATGGTTGCGGCACTGAGCAGCTCCATTGATGTGATAATTTTAGGAGCTCCTGCTGCATGGTTGCAAGCGTGGTTATTTCGCGGGGCTATCCCAGCAGGTAATTGGTTTGCGATACTTCAGCGCATAGCCATGAGAGGTGCAATGTTTTAAATGGATTCAATGCCAGTATTGTAGATGATTGATCCATAAGATCAAAAACCTCGGGGTCTGTGATGTCTGTAATTAGATGTTCATATCTCGTGAGCATTTGCGCCATCTTCATAAAACTGAATCTAGCATCAAGTGTCCAGACCTATGCAAGGCGCTTTTTGGTTTTGGGGCCAAACAAATATCCTTAGTGGACAAGATATGCGTGGACCTGATGTCAAAGTTCCTTGATGGTACTCGCACGATTCCGAAGGCGCACATTCAAACGTTCACTAGTGGTGCAACTCACATCTCGCTTTGAGGTAGAATCCCAATCTTTGGAAGCCTGGGCATGTGAATCGTGTGGGTCCATTTGATTTCCGCCCTGCACTTGCACATTTACGTGTATGTACTGCACTGCTTGATGTACACACACACCCTCAAGGCCTCAAGGCTTAGGTATGTGTTGATGTTGCCTCATGCCATGAACACCGCTTCGATTATCGACCTGTTACATAAGTGACTTGGTGAATCGAATCCCGCAGAAGTTCCTCGCACCTATATATATGTCCAGTGCCCAATTGTACAGTGAGCCAACCGTCGTCTATCTAGCATTATACTGCAATGTACCAATTCTTCAAAAAAATCGCAAAACAATGCGTCAATCATTTCTGCACCATATCAAAACACCTTGGAAACGCTTTCAAAAATCTGTTTCCGCCGCCCAGTGAAGCTCCCGGTCATGAAAAGCGCATGGACAAGATGAACACGACTCTTGATCGTGTTGAGGAGTGTTTTTTGCGGGTCTTCAGCAAGCTCGGCGCGAGCAGGAAATTCCTCCAAAGTCTGACAGGTCCTCTCAAAACGGGTGTCAAATATGTTGTTGTGACCATCGGTGTGTCATGAATAAATAAGGGTTCCAAAACGTTGATCAACTAATATCAATTGATGATACAGGAGATATCATCGAGCAGCATCCATACCTCGTGACCATCCTTTTGTGCATTGCGATTGGCATGCTATTATCCCAATGTCTTCCTGTGATTCTCGGGTTTGGGCCCTTGGGACCAGTGAAGGGTACGATTTTGTTACTTGTATAGTTGTATCGCATCAATACTTATAATATTTTTAGGTGGAATTGCTGCGTGGTTGCAGGGGTGGGTATTTGGCGGGGCTGTCCCGGCAGGTAGCTGGTTCGCGATACTTCAGCGCTTCGCCATGGTGTGGAGAGCATGGTTGTAGAGCTGAAGTGAGGTTCCGTGAGTGTATGATCCATGATTGAAACTGTTGAGACCTGTTACGTTTGTACAAATATGACTTACATGTACATGATTTCTTATACATATGCTTGAAATTCCCTCGTTGGTCAGTGTCGTATATCCATAGGGATTTCATGCACCCTGTGACCAGTAAAATTAATGTTTGAGACAGCCCTCCAGGCAACCCACTAAGGACCCGCCATTTACCATGGTCCTTGCGCGAGGCTTCCAATATCAGTATATGTGACTGGTACTCAGTCCCGGTCAATTTGCTGATACCAAGAATTGTTATCCAACAACTTGATCAAAGATTCAATCAGGCCGCGCACTCTGCTTTTCGTGACTCAGACTAGACAGCATTAACTTCACTGCCAGTGTTGCTTACGACCTGCAAACATGTCACACATCCCATCCCGCAATTCCATCAAACTTGGCAGTAATAGTGCACACAATTTTGTTGAATCTCGCACTCTCATAGCAACATCACCTTTGTTGTAGCGCTGGGATGCCTCTTAGTGATGTGTAATCTGAAACGCACGAACTCGAGAAATCAAATCATACACTAGTGATCAAGGCCTTCGAAAATCCTTAATTAGAGGGAAGCCTCTCATGACCATAATATTGAAATTGGCTGAGAAGTTCACAGGCTGACGAAGACGTTTACCCATCTCAAGCTTAAGGTTTACTGGTTATGTTAACCTGCATGTTGCCTCATGCCGTGAAGTATGTATTTGATTATCAACTTGTTACATAAGTGACTTGGTGAATCGAATCCTCAAATCCCGCAGAAGGTCCTCGCATATACTATATGCCCAATTGCACAGTGAGCCAACGGTCGTCTATCCCAGCACTATACTGCAATGAATTGGCTCTCTACTCTGGCATCAACACTACGACCAGTCCCTTCAGGCAACGTTGAAGAAAGCACTCATTCTTCTGATAAAAGCGCCACCGAGACAGGTTTGTTGCACTTTTATCTCACGACGAATGTTACATTTTAACCTAGGACAAGGATGGGGAGTAGTGAGAAAGTGTACGTCCAATTGAAATTACTGTTTTTGAATCATATACTGATGTCAGAAATGATTGACAGCACTTTTTGACAAGTCATCGCAAGTCGCGGGCGCGTTATACGGCCAGGGCGCTGCAACGGTCGGCAGCCTGACAGGAAAACTTGGATCATTACCTGCTTCAGCAGACATGTTGTATGGTGGATTGCACTTTCCAAGTGTTGGAAAATCCTGCTGGGACAAAGCTGCAGGCTTCGCTCCAAATACCAAGGGTTGTACAGATGTATTTTTCCAGCGTGCCAGGGAATTCTATCCCTCTGACAAGATAGCAGAATTGAGGGCGGCTGTAGATAGTGTCGTTGGCACAACCACGACACTCTACCAAGTCATCAAAGAAGCTGCAAAACAACGCGGCATTCCTCTCTGCACCGTATTGAAAGACCTTGGAAACACTCTCAGTGTCTTATTCGAGGAGCTCAGAGAACAGTTTCCGCCACCCGATGAAGCTCCCGGTCATGAAGAGCGCATGAACATGATGAACACGGTTCTCGATCGCGTCGAGGAGTGTTTTCTGCAGGTCGTCGGCAAACTTGGAGTGAGCAATGAACTCCTCCGAGGTCTCACAGGTTCCCTCAAGACTGGTCTCAAACACGTTGTCGTGACCATTGGTGTGTCACAAATAAATGACTCCGGAATGTTGAGAATCTAACATCAAACGATGATACAGGAGACGTTAGCGAGCAGCATCCATACCTCGTGTGGGCCTTTTCGGGCATTGTGATTAGCATGCTATTTGCCGAAGGGATTCTTCTCACGATTCTCCGCGTTGTTGGGTTTGGACCTTTGGGACCAATGAAGGGTACGATCTTGTATAGTTGCAACACAATAATCTTTATAACATTTTTAGGTGGAATCGCTGCATGGTTGCAAGGGTGGTTATTTGGCCCCGCTGTGCCAAAGGGCAGCTGGTTCGCGATGCTTCAGCGCTTCGCCATGATGGGAGGAGCGCGGCTGTAGAACTGGTGCGAGGTTCCGTGATTCGTGAATGTATGGTCCATGACTGAAACCCTGTCACGTTTGCACAAATATTACTTGCATGTAGTACATGATTTCTGATGCTTGAAGTTCGCTCGTTGGTCAGCGGCATATATCCATAGTAGGTAGCGGGACTTCGCGTAGTACCCGTGAGGTGAAATTAATGTTCGACACAGCCCTCCGGGCAACCTAGGACCCACCATTTACTTCGGTCCTTTTGCAAGACTTCTGATATCAGTCCTTGGCAGTTTGCTAATACCAAGCATTGTTTATTTATCTAACAAGAACTCGATCGGGTCACGCACTCTGCTTTTCAGACTGGACACATCGACTTTACGGTTTCTCGCGTCGGCACTTGCTTATGACCTGCAAAAATGACGCACGACGCAATTCTGTTGAATCTTGCACTGTCACAGTAACATTACCTTTGTTATAGCGCTGGGATGCCTCTTCTGCGGTCCGAGACCTAACTGTTGTAGGTTTATACACATGATGCATGATCTGACTCAGAGAATCTGAGATGCACGAGCTCGAAAAGTCAAATCAAATCCTACACTGAGGCCTTCGAAAATCCTGCGTGAATATTGCCAAGGGGAAGTCTTCCGTAACCACAATTGAAAATTGGCCAAAAAAGTCATAAGCTAACAAAAACGTTTACCCATAAGAGCTGAGCGCTGAACGGCAGGAACGGCAGAAAACATCACCTCAACAGCCCTTGGGATAGAGTATGGCTCTCTCATACAATCGAAGTCATACATCTGCGGCAAAACAACATGGCCAGTCCACTATATGCCAACTAAAGTTGCTGTCCAGGGTTATTTTCCGTTACCACTCAGCAATAATGTCCACCCTGTCATCAAAATCTAACAGAGGGAAACGTACCTGCATCAAAATCCTTGATGATCTTGATGCCCTTGAGCGTGAAGATGACGCCACTCAATATCCCGATCCCTTGCCAGTGCATTGAGACTATCAGATGCACTAGTGGCACGCAGCATTACGGACACAAAATGGAACATCTTGAAGGGTTCTGGCATAACTTCATTCAAGTTGGCAAAATTCCTGCGAGGGGTCACAAACACAAGAAGATTATTGACACGCGCCGAGTCACATACAAGGACACGCAACATGTCTCGAAGGTAGTCCTTCAATACGATCGCCCGGGGCCCCGTACTAACGCGAATCGAATGCGCACGAGTAACAGTAACATAATGCTCGCAAGTCATGAAAAAAAGATGTGATGCACATGATCTGAAGGGGTAGTGACGGGTATTCATCGGCTCATCAACGGCTTTAGTTGGCATGTTAATAAGTGGACCAACCATATTAGGTAACTCAACGTGCAGTGCTTGATGTACACACACACCCTCAAGGCTGTTACTGCATGTTGCCTCATGCCATGAAGGCTTCGATTATCAACCTGTTACATATGTGACTTGGTGAATTGAATCCTGCAGGAGTTCCTTACACCTATATATATCTCCAGTGCCCAATTGCACAGTGAGCCAACGGTCGTTTATCCCAGCACTAAACTGCAATGTACCAATCCATCAAAAAAGTCTTAGAACAATGCGGCATTCTTTTCTGCACCATCATGATATCAGAATACCTTGGAAACGCTTTCAGCGTCGTATTTGAAGGGCTCGGGGGGCGGTTTCCGCCACCCGGTGAAGCTCCTGGTCATGAGGAGCGCATGGCCACGACGAACGCAGTTTTTGATCGCGTTGAGGAATATTCTTTGCAGGTCGTCGGCGAGCTCGGAGTGAGCAACAGACGCCTCCAAAGTCTGACAGGTTCTCTCAAGTCAGGTGTTAAACATGTTGTGACCATTGGTGTGTCATTAATAAATAACTGTTCCGGAACGTTGATAAACTAATATCAAATGATGATACAGGAGATTTTATGGAGCAGCACACATACCTTGCGCAGCTTCCGGGCATTGCGATTAGCATCATGGTGCTACTTTCCCAAGGGTTTCTTGCCATGATTCTCCAGATAGTGAAGGGTACGATTTTGTATATAGTCGTAACACATCAATGTTTCAATACTGATAACATTTTTAGGTAAAATTTTTACGTGGTTGCTATGGTACTTAATTGGCCTCGTCGTGCCAAAGCGCAGGTAGTTCGCGATGCTTCAGTGCTTCACTATGATGAGAGGAGCGCGCGCGCGGCCGTAGAGCTGGTGCGAGGTTCCGTGAATGTTTGGTTCGCGACTAACTCAACCCTCTGTTACGTTTGTACAAATATTACTTACATGCACGATTTTTGATACTTGAAGTTCGCTCGTCGGTCAGCATCATATATCCAACATATATCCGTAGTAGGCAGCAGTATTTCATGCACCCTGTAAGGGAAAAATCAATGTTTGACGCAGTCCTCAGAACAACCCAGGACCCACCATTTACTTTGGCCCTTGCGCGAGAGTCGAGACTTCCAATCAGTACTACTGTACCAACTCGTCAAAGAAACCGCAGAACAGAGCGGCGTTTCTCTCTCCACCGTTTTAAAAGACCTTAGAAACACTTTTAGTGTCCTATATGAGGAGCTTAAAGAACAGTTTCCGCCGCCCAATGAAGCTCCTGGTCATGAAAAGCGCATGACCATGATGAACACGGTTCTTGATCGTGCCGAGGAGCATTTTCTGCAGGTTGTCGGAAAACTCGGAGTAAGCAAGCTCACAGGTTCTCTCAAGTCTGACATTAAACACGTTGTTGTGGCCATCGGTGTGTCACGAATAAATGATCATTCTGGAACGTTGACAACCTGATATCAAATAATGATACAGGGAACATTACTGAGCGTGGCACCCAAACCTTGTGTGGGCCCTCTCGGGTATTGTGATTAGAATGCTATTTTTCAATGGTCACCTTCTCAGCACAATTCTTCACATAGTTGGGTTTGGGCCTTTTGGACCAGTCAAAGATACGATTTCAAGTTTGTTTAGTTGCAACGCATCAGTATTTGTGACGTTCAATTCAGGTGGAATTGCTGCGTGGTTGCAAGGGTGGTTATTTGGCCCCGCCGTGCCAAAGGGCAGCGGGTTCGCGATGCTTCAGCGTCTCGCCATGATGGGGAAAGCGCGGCTGTAGAACTGGTGCGAGGTTCCGTGGATGTTTAGTTTAGTATTGATTAAAAACCTCGAGGCCTGTTGTGTTTGTACAAATATTACTTGTGCATTACACATGATGCATGATTTTTGACGCTTCAAGTGACAAGGAAGTCAGAGACCTACCATCAGAGTTTCCGTCGCCAAATATCAAAACCAACAAACTCATTCACGCTATGACTTGGCAGCAGGATAATCATATTCACAAAATTACAAAAGGTGCTGCCATAAGAGTAGAAAAATAGGACAGAAAGAAGTTGTTGAAGTAAATTAAAAGGGTGCAAGTCGCCGAACTGCATGCGGTGAATCAGGAGATCGTGTAATACACAGTACTTTTTCACGTACCAGTGTTTGTAGCAATCCGAAGCGGGTAGAGTGGTCAAGATCGGTCATGGATGGTCTCGGGGTCATCGTGGAGTCGAAGTGAAGGGTGCAATTTGCCGAACTGCAGGTGGCGTATCAAAGCAAATTGTATAGTATAGTGATTGTCCACATACCAGTATTTGCAGCAGGCCATAGTGGATCGAAGGGCTATGAACGGTCTCGAGAGGCATGAGAGGTTGCGAAGCTCAAAAGACCTGTCAAGTCGGGTAGGCCATGAAACGCTTGCATTTTGTGCGGCCGAGCAACTGGTTACAAGAAGGCCGCGGCAGGAAGAACGCGTTGGGGTGGAACTCCGCGGATGGTCACACAGGACGCACGATATGGAAGGTGATAGGGGTGTTGACAAGTTGCAAAGGTCAGAATAATTGGTGAAGGATCTCGATGAGGTCGTGAAGGATCATGAGAAGTCGCGAAAGTCGTGAAGGTCGTGAAAGTCGTGAAAGTCGTTAAAGTCGTTAAAGTCGTTAAAGTCATAAAGTCGTAAGGTCGTGAAAGTCGTGAACTTCATGAAAGTCGTAAAAGTCGTAAAGGTCGTAAGAGGTCGTGAAGGACTCGGTGGGTCGGAACAAGCTGTCAAAGGTGTGAAGGGTCCTGCATATCATGCTATTCTGCAAGTCGCCACGAAAGTAGTAGACATGGGAAGCCATCGTCAAGGAATTTCGGTGGTAGTGAATATCGCAAGTTAAAGTCGGCCATTGTTATCCGAGGATGAAATATGAACGCCCGGAAACAAGAGCAACCATGCATGGTTACGAAGATTGCACCTGACGTGTAGGACACACTTCCGGGTGCTGCATACCGGCAGCAAAGAGGGAACGGAAAACGAGGGTATGATAAGACATCGTGCGATGGCAAACTGCGCTGCGGGGAGACAAAGATGATATCCGCGACCAGCTGAGGTGGTGCAAGAAAGCGTTGTGAGCTCGTAGGGGCTACGGGTGTTTGAAACCATGCAAGGGCGACGGAAGTTAATGGTAGGCTAGGGGATCACGCGGTGCTAAACTGCGGCGCAGATGATGATGATGATGATATCCACGACCAGCCGAGGTGGTTCAGGAAGTGTGGTAAGTTCGTAAAGAGCCACGAGCGTTTTCCATGCAAGAGCAACGGAAGGCAAGGGTAGGCCGGGATATCATGCGGTGGTGCCCTACGACGCGGAAGAGGAGAAAAATACGCACGACCAACTGAAGTGGTGTAAGCGAATGCGGTAAGCTCGTAAAGGACTGTGAGCATTTTAATCCACGCAAGGACGACGGAAGAAAGCAAGAGTAGGCTGAGCTATCATGCGGTGCTGAACTGCAGGAGAGAGGAGGATACCCACGGCCGATCAGAATGGTTCAAGAAAGTGTGGTAAGCTCGTGAGAGCCATGAGCATCTGGAACAACGCAAGGACGGCAGAGGGCAAGGATAGGCTGAGATATCATATGGCGCTGAACTGCGAACGGAAACGAGCGGAAACGAGCCTGCAATAATGACCAGAAATTATTGGAGCCGTGCGAGAGATTATCGTAAGGCTACCCAAACATCACACACGATGCTGTCGTCGTGAGGGAGACTTGTCCTGTCTTGTGGATGATACAAAACAAATCAGGGCTGCGAAGGTGGCCTTAGACAACCAGAGCAGGAAATGCGAGGTATCAGGCACATTCAAGGTATGGCGTTTGGATCCTGCTGCAAAACGAAATTGCCGACTGCAAATGATCGGAGCTGCGTAAGAAATCACAGGTCAGTCATAGAAGGCGCGATGACTAGAAAACTTTACAAAGATGACGACGTGAGGATGTCTTCGAGAGTGCTACAAAATGAACTGACGACTGCAAGAATAAACTGCCAAGAACCAGAGCGCAAAATGGTGGTAAGCATAATAGGAAAAGGCAAGAATTCAGGAAGCCTTACAAGGGTGATGACGCAAGTGCGCGGGGAATGTGATAGAATACTGCAGACAATCAGAGAGACAGTGAGCGAAGTGGAAACGAGATGGGAGTTAAAGATCTTACAAGATTTAGGGATAGAGGGATCTTCTGATGCTGCAAAATAAAAAGTAAAGCACACAAGATCAAAAATAAATGAGAGCACTACCAAGTGATCCGGAAATGTTGAAATTGAAGAGAAAATAAAATAGGAAAAGACCAAAGAGGAATACCAAGACATAGAAAGAACGAGAATATGGGGTTTTGTCGTTTTCTGTATGATATCGAGACTGAGATGCAAATAGAAACCGACACGATGCAAGTTCGAGAAAATCTGCTGCTAGAAAGATGAGGAATTGAAATTAATGTTGCGTCGGGGTTGAAACTGGGAAGTGAAGGTCGACAGTTGACATGTGGACGTCCAGCGATAGAGATATGCTCTTGACGCATCGCCCTGTCGATCCAGTTCCAAAAGGACTCCTCGCCCTCGATACAAGACTCTAAGGTATCATGGCATCGTCACCGAATCGAATACCGAGGTCGAGCTGCGAGAATTCCTTAGACGCGAGATTGATATTAGTTGGGATCCCAGACCAATATTGTTCGTCCGTGAACGGGACACAACCTTCAGTGAAACTCTGCGTTCGTGGCTCACCATTAGTTATATCGATACACGAGTGTGCGTCAATCAGGTAGCTGGATTGAATTGGGGTGGCGAGGGTGACAAAGAAGCACCCGGCGGGCGAGCGACGGTGATTAGAACCAGGGAAAAGGGGGCTGATACGACCTGTTATCGGAGCGATGATGACTTCATCATCATCCGAGTCTATATCTGAGCCGGATGCCAGGGAGGGAGTCGAGCCGTAATCGTCAACAGACCCATCTTCAGTTTCCGACAATGAGGACTTTGAGTCGGATGGGGTCGCAAGAAACCTGGGGTAATTCTCGTCATCGCAATCGTCGTCACGGTCAAAGTTGACAATTGGATACTTGTCATCCGCGGAAAGTCGCAAGTCCTCATTGACAAACCGAAGGAGGTCGAAGCCATCGCTGTTGACTTCCAAGATTGAATCGCGGACAGGCTGTTGGCAATCAATCTGTTTGTCAAGAAGTCGGATAAGGTCGAGGATCGCAGACTCTGAGGTACCACCAGAGACATGGTTTAGGGATGTTTCCGATTCGTCCATGGAGAGCTGCTGAAGATCCGATGTGAGCTCGTGGTCGGTACCGTACTCACCCTTTTTGGAAATGGAGCTTAGCGCGTGGCCCTCGAAAAAACCTTGAAAGATGTCCTCTTCGGCGGTTAAGGAACCTGGATAGTCAGGCGTCGGAGAAAGTTGCTCGTTGTAGCCATTTAGCTCCAGATGCAAGTCAGCATCCTCTTGGAAGGGGAAAGAACGAGTCTCGTTCTCGAGGAAGTTTAAGTAGTCCCATGTTGGAGAAGTATGTTTGCTCGCTGGACAAGTGTCGTCAGAGATGTCGTTGCGCCCCTCGTCACAACTGAAGCTATTGTAAAATTCGACTTCCTCATCGATAGACTGCAGAAGATCATCCATCAGGCGGGAGTTGCTATCTTGATAGTCCTCCTGCTCTTCACCGAAGAGATGCGTTTCAGCAAGAGAACGGTGGCATCGCGGAGGGATGCCACTTTCCACGTTAAGAGCATCCGCGAATTTGCTGAAATCCACTTGGCCATGGCGACGCGCAACGGGCGCAATAGGAGACATGTCGAATGCCTGAAGAACGATATCCGAGGGAGGATAATTGAGCTTAATCGCGAGTGCACTAGCCAAGTCAGACATTTCGACCAGACCATGTCGACGGTCGTTAGGGGAACGTGGTCCAGTGGGAAGGGTCGAAGGAGAGGGTAGAGGACTTGGTAGAGTAAGGAAGGCACCACCCCGAAGTGTTGTACCGACGACTGAAATGTCGAAGTTGTACGATCGGGGAGGCCACTCGCATGCAACGACAGTCATGTAATGCTCGCAAGTGATTTCTGGGACGTCTACGTGTGGTTCGGCGGTCTCCGACAGTAGGAAATCATGAAGAGTGGCCTCTGCGGATTCTGAAGAGTAAATGGAGATATCGTCATCAGATTCCTCATGCTGGGGTTCATCCTCTTTCTTTTCGAACAGACCTAAAGCGCGCTGGAAAGACTATGTAAGTACCGCAGTCAGCCACCGATGTCAAAAGAAGTGGGGTTACGCACCAAGGGACTGACAAAATCCTCGTCGGCGACAGTTATAGCGATAGTAGGGACTGAAATCTACGAGTAAAATATAAGTGGTTGATGATAATGATACCAGACTATATTACATACCTGAAGTCCACAATCGTAGTCTGCCTCCGTAACGTCCACCTCCCCATACTGGCCAACACGTAGTTTATCATCAGTTATTTGGCTAGTTATCGCAGTACCAGTTTGGACCATGGGAATCTGGAACCATACAATGTCAGCCTCATCTGGAGCCATGGCGATAGGAGAGCAGCCGCATACCACGTCAACGTTGCATGTGGAGGCAACATGCTTGACTAGTTGATTACTTCCCAACTGGACTGCTGAACGATCGTAGGCCAGAGATGTATCATATGGCGTGTCGGACGGCGAGAATAGTACTGAACCATCGCGGGGCAGAATGACTGGTGGTACAATGCCAGGCAGCTTGGACTGGGACATAGTGCCTTTGCGATGACGACGGTAGAAATATCCCACCACGGAAACGATAGCGACTGCGAAGCACACGAAGCCACCTTTCCAAAGATCATAGGTAAGGACAGTCGTGCCGGTGGGCGAAATGGTCGAAGGAGTGACGAGGGGCCCTGAGAGGACAGAGGTTGAATGCACTGCGGAAAGCAACATGAGAGTAGATGTGGGAGCCATGGTAAAGCAGTAAGACAATGGCAAGATGAAAGCAGTACACTGGATGTTCAAAAGATGCGGAGGTGTATATATATGCTAGCCAGAATTTGGAGGTTGACAGTCCCGCCAGCATCGTCAACCACTGTCAGCCATCATTGTACCTTCAGTCATGTCAGCCATCATAGGCACCTTAAACTAACGATATCATAACCTGACATCATCGCGTATATGAGTGATATGGATGATTGCTGGATGTCACCAGTAATCAAATTCATGCCATAACATTCTTCATCGCTACCGAACTTACAACGATATTGTCGATAATGGAACGCTCACGATCCAGGTTCCCTTGCACCTCTTTCAAGGCCGACTCCGAGTCCAATTTATAATGCTGGAAAGGATATGAGATTCTTGATATCGTATTAATATGTTATTACACACCTTTTTGATAATTGACCAATCCGTCATTTTAACCAGCGCTTGAAAAGGAACCATACACCCTTGGATAACGTCGCACATGCGACGCTGTAGATCAGGGGTATCTGAGACATCTACACGGACAACAATGAGTGTGGTCGACTCATCCGATACCCCATATCGTCGGATGGCTTCAGTGATCTAAAGACATTTTTAATAGTGAAATTAAACAATCATCGAGTAGATGGCTACGCGTACATTATTGGTGGGGTTCAGTGCCCATAGTATCTCTGAGTGGACAGTTTTAGTCCGAAGTTGACCCTGCGCCTCTGACAAAAGCGCCTGATAGATTGCTGTCTGGAGGTGAAGTGGGCTTGATATCTGGGACACGTAGTCAGTAACAATGCATAAATACCGGAGTCGACATTTCTACCAGCCGTGCATCAATGAAGGCGAAGTTGACAGCTTCACGTTCAGTATTCCCATCAACACCGAGATTTCTAGCGGCCTGAACAATACGAGACCTGATGGCGGCAGCGTTCGTTACATCATCGAATAAAGCCACATGAACAACCGCATGATTAAACTGAGAGTAGTAGTATGTCTCCATCGATCATGGCAGTGAGCAAGAACCAAACAATACACACATAGCCATCTTGCATTGTCATCATAAGCGCTTAGCACTCACCACAACCTCACTTTTAACTGCCATCATCAAGTCATACATATTCTTGCCTGAGGACTGCTATTAGTAGTCTGGATTCCATGCTGGCATGAGATTCACTTCTTTATCTTCGTCATTGTCACTTTTCACAACATGGTTTGTACTTCAAGCCGCTGCCGCCCCGGCGGCAGGCTCACAGGTCCTGACCCCTCAAGATTTCAAGCAGACCATTGCAGATGGTGTTTGGTGCGTCTTTTTCGTAGAGCCCCTTATTTTTTTTCAACAAGGAGAGTAGGTTCATCGAACATTTTTCCCCATATTGTCGGCATTGTCGCAACTTTGAACCGACATGGAACCGTGTAGTAGACAATTTTGAGAAAGAGAAACCCGATCTAGGGATACACCTGGCACAGGTGAATTGTGCATTGAATGGAGGTGAGCGAGCTCTACAAATTTTCCGGGCCACTAATAGACCTTGTCAATCGCGGAAGACTTGTGCACCGAGAACGGTGTTACAGGATACCCTCAAATGAACCTCTATCGAAACGGGCTGTTTGTAGAGACCTTCACTAAAGATCGCGACTTCGATATCCTTGTAGATTTCCTTCTTGCACGTGCTGAACATACCGCAAATCCCTTGTCATCCTCTACTGCGGTTGAGCAGGAGGAATTGGTAGCTGAAATCGTTCCTGTAGACGAGAATTCGGTGGTCCATGTGTCGCAGGCAGAATCCAACCCTTTAGGAGAGGTGATATCCTTAACTAGCGAGACATTCGACAACTTTGTGTCGCAGGCGCCTACATTTGTCAAGTTCTTTGCACCGTGGTACGCTGCATCAATTATAGACCAAAATTTGTCTTAACAGCCGTTTGTTAGGTGCGGACACTGTAAGAAACTTGCTCCAACGTGGACGCAGGTTGCTCGTCGCATGCAGCACAAGCTCAATATCGCTGAAGTCAATTGCGATGAGTTCAAGTCGCTATGCTCGAAGCAAGGGGTCACAGGTTATCCTATGCTGTTCTACTATTCTCACGGAGCCAAGACAGAGTACTCAGGAAGTAGAAAATACGAGCCACTTGTGGCTTTCGCTGACAAGGCAGCATCTCCGTAAGGACAAATTTTCCGGAGTCATAAGGCGCTTTTTAATGTCTGCTCCAGGACCATGCAACCAATAAGTGCTCATGATCTTGACAAGGTTGTTCATGAAAATCCTGTTGCGTATGTCCTACTTTCTTCATCACATGAACATATTGTCGTACGTGCACCGCATTATGTGCCTTGTTTAGTACTGACAATATTTCAGAGTGAGGTCACTAAAGACTCGCAGTTGCTCCTCGGGTCGCCCCCGGTATTTGTATCATCTTCCAAGGAACTCTTTGCTCGCTATGACATCCCAGCGACAGAATCCTGGGCCATCCTAGCATTCAAAGATCATGACTCAAAGGAACCCACCTCAGTCTTTAGTCCATCCAGTTCTGACACACTTAGCACTTGGCTATTCGCCAACCGCCTCCCAACCTCCCTCGAGCTCTCGCGTGATGTATTTCAACAGGTAATGAATGCTCCACATAACCCACTCGTTGTGATCGCTGCGACGCCCAACGACGTTCAAAATGATGTCTCATCGAAGTTGGACGATATTGCAAAAAAGTGGCGCCTGCGCAAGAGCTATGTTGGGAAACAAGATGTGGTATTCACGTGGATGGACGCTGATCAATGGGGAAGTTGGATGAAGAGTATGTACGGTGTGAAGGTCAAAGAGCAGCCGAAGGTGGTGGTTGCTGATCATAATGTGAGTAAATTGTAATTCCTGTTCTTTTCATGTATCATAGCTAATAATTGGATAGCGCCTCATCTATTGGGATAGGGATACTACTGGACAGCCCATTCAGCTAAACACCGTCAGCATATTCTCTGCTATTGAAGGAATTTACGACAGCAAAATACGTTCCAAGCACTCGGAGAACATCCTAGAGCGCTCTCTTCGGGTATGCGCCACTACGTCGTTATCAGCTCCCTCGCTCACAACTGCATACACACAGGTCTTCAACTCAAGTCTCACAAGCACTGAGGGTTTCATCATCGCCCATCCATACATGGCTGTCCTGCTGATTCTTGGATTTTTGGCAGCGGTTGTTATGGCGATCAAGAAACTTTTGGATGATGATACGGATCTGCAGTCCGAGCATAGGTACATCAAGGGTGGTCGTCTAGATTGATTTATGGACCTTTTTCTCAAACTCAAACGTGAATTTACTAGGAGGGAGTCGGCGTGATTGTCGGTAAGCCCGATTGCAAGGCCAGAAATCGAAGCACTTCGGTTGTCAAACCATAAGTTTCGGTATTACATACATGCGTGCTTGAACATTGCACAGCACCAAATAAAGCAGCCGACGACATGCGACACGGCTGCCCACTTATGCACGCATTACGGATGGTTCATGCATGGCTGCAGTGCAGTCAGACACCCAATCATTCGTCTCAAGGCGGAACACGCGGAAGCCTCGAGGCAATCATTCTTCTTAATGAATCTTCTCTTAAGTACACCAGAGCCTCAAGGCTTTGCGTTAGCATCCTATCCCCAACTCTCCTATCATGTCACAGTGGGAATCATTACCAACATGGCTGCAAGTGAGTAAATTGGTCGTCTACTTGGTGACTATTGATGTAATTATTGTGGCCCTAGAATCAAGTCAAACAAATTGAACGAGGATCATTATCGTCCCTTGCGTCTCTCAAATCGCTCAACCGTTCTATCTCTTCTAAACAGTCCTCTGATCATTTGCGTCCTTACTTTCAAACTCTCATTCCTCTTTTTTTCGTTCATCTCGATCCAAGGCTCGTCCCCCATGAGATCACTCCAGATTCTGCACATTCAATTATGCTTGCTAAGGTGTCCATCATGGGCATTAGTTGCCTATGCGGAGAGAATCAAGGAGAATTACGTGGTGCACCCCAATTTCGTCAGAAGCTGTCCGATGCTATACATTCACATTGGAGTGGGGTATCTGCATGGGTTCAATTTTTCTACCATAATTTCCTCGTCCCGCGGGATGACCCAGTTGCACGCCTACACAGGATCTACAGTGTAACCTCGCAGGAAGCTGCCAGCACCTCAATACGGTTCATCTATGTGGCTAGCGTACTTCCCGGTGTTGTCGCGCATCTCTATCGAACAACGCCGGATATCGAGCGAATCATCATGGAACTCTGGTACTTGGTAACGGACATCAAACGCGAAGATTGCATTGTTGATCCATATCTTCGCCACTGGCGTCAGGACTTCAACATGCTTCGCGCATTCATGGCCCATGTAGTCACCTCGTGCGTGTACTATGAGCCTCCTAGCACTCCTCTTCCGCCTTTGACATCGCTCATCGAAGCCGCTGGAGGAAGGACCCCTATGGTTTTGGCTGCTCTCAAATGCCTACGTTTTGCAGGAAAGGGAGCGGCTCAGAGAGACCGCGACATGGTCAAGCATGACCTTGACCTTAGCCCCTTAAATACACTCTCATTGACGTGCAAGCAAACGCTCATCTTCATGTTTGCTACAAGCCAGGCAGACCCTGTCATTTGCGAACTCTTTCTCACACATTCCTCAATACGCACAGTTCTCAACACGCTGGCCGGAATAGGGACACATCCAGGTACAGAGCCTAACCTGGATCCTACCAATGAGAGCTTCTGTCAAAAGACTGCAACAAAGCGGGCCGCTATGGCTATTGGTCATCAGTATATCTCGTTCGTGCTGGCGTGTTCTAATAATCCCATTGAAACTGCCTGCCATGCCCTTCGTTGCCGTCTTCTGGAGGTCCTCCTGCGGAACTGTGTATTCCCCTCGGAAAACCGCGTGCACAAGTCCAGGTGGTCTGATTATGATATCAGGATTTTTGAACAGCTGGGAGGGGCGCTAATCTATGAGAGAGTCGTTCGTATTGCCTCGATGTCTATGCAATATATCGATTCTCAACGCCTTTATGTTCATGCCATGCACGATCCAACATTGTGGGGCTCGCTGTTGACCTTTAAAGAAATCCTTTCGCAACGTTGGAGAATTCTCTCTACGTTAACGCCGTGCACACGTCCAGAGTACGAACGAACCTGTGGAGGTCCTGGGGTATGAACTTCCCATTTCAAGTTTGCTCCATGCTGATACCGGTTATAGTGCATCAGTGCGAGTACCAGACTTCAACAGTGTGCTGGATGCCAGACCACGAAATACTGCTCAAAATCTTGCCAGCGAGCAGCATGGTCGACTGTGCACCGTAAGCATTGCAGTATCCTAAAGGCTGGCATTGGTGTGTAAACCGATATACATATATATATCCACTCTTGCTCACAGTTAGCAGGAATGGCCAAGGCTGGCAGGCACCTTCGGGCAAGTCTGCCGTTTATTGCATTAATTGAGGCAGCCGAGTTCGATGACGACAAGTGGCCAGGACAGCGTGCTCTACGACACAAACTGGCCACCGTTCAAGAAGAGAATCCAGCAGACGTTCATTCCTTGGTGATCGAGTTGGACATGACCGTACTCCCCATCAAACATCGCATACAACCCCTTCGGCAATGTGTCGGACAATTCCAAGACACAAATTGGATGCGGATCATCCGGGGCAGGCAGGCCTTACAGGGCAACAGTATACTTCCTATGATGACAATAATCACCACGATCGAGGGCGCTAAGAGAAGGTCACTTTTCAGTCCACGGACAGCTCTGCAATTAGCATTTGGGTGGCCGCCGTCTAAGTTCACTGAAGAAGTTCCTGGTATCCCACGCAGTGTTCTGTTCGATTACTGCACCAAAGTCTTCGCGGGTTGCGCTGACGAAGGGGATGGATCGAAATATGACCCCAAGAGTACCCGAAAGGATCTTACACTTGCGAATGGTGCTGCAGAGTGCCCGCGTATAGTTGGTGTTGAGGCCTAGGACAAGAGGGATGAAGGATTGGTGGTATACATGGGATGGAAATTACATTCACAGCAGACTGCACTGGCAGCTCAGTTCGCTGCACTTGCTGTACGTAGACCATTCATCATATAGCCGTCGATGAGCAAAATTAAACTTGCAACAGGTGACATTGCTATAGCTTCTGGATGGCTGGCCATCCAGTCAGAATTTGAGTCGGGTACTAACAAGTTGTGTAGTGCTATTGGCGGTTCTCTAAACTGGAATTTGAGGAGTACCAATTTTAATCATGTGTGTTGTAAAACTGGCCAGCGTGCCATAGATTATCATTCCCCTTGATGCAGGTGCGTGATGAACTGATTTTGTTAACACGTGACTAGAGACGCGTCGATCGGGTCTTGACTATAGACTACTAGGACTGGCTAGCAGTGGTCATTAAGATCTCGTCGCAGGGTATGACTAGTACTTAAACCTAGATTTGCGACGAGCTCGTCTACTTTTCCCTTCACATGCTCGGAGTCGAGATGGCCACAATGCTCTCTCTTGGCAGCACTAGCTGCCTCCGAGTCAGATTGCCAGATACGAAACGGCATTACAGATTCCTCCCGGGCAGATGCAACTTGAAGGTATGTACGTGTTCATCGCCAAACAAGTACGACTTCTCGATAATGAACGCTGAGTGTTAGACATCGACAACTTATAGTTTCTGAATCCCATTTTCTTGTGTTCTCTTTCGGAGAACAATGCCGGATGAACGTATTGTGCACGCAAGTGGAAAGTGACTAGTGACTAGTGTTTGACAAGTGGATCAATTACACACACAAGCCCAACAGGGCCTAAAAAACCTCCAAGCTGTTCATCAACCGTCACGTTCGGAGCAACTTGAAAAAATTCATCGCGAGGGTATGATACAAATGTATATATACAATAGTGTACACGAGTGTCATGCATGATGGTAGTGTCGCAATGAATGAATGATTAGTGAGCAGATGCTTTTTAGTGTTCCAATCATGGCGTCTAGAAAAATATTGCGCCTTCTGCTGGTTAGCCAGTGTTGCCGGGTCCGTGTTATAATCAAGCAGTGGACAATAGTAGTGTGATCAAGGAGATGCTGCCCATGGTGAGACGGAATGATCGCTCATGATGCCTCGTATCCGATTGTATACTGCAGCAGGGAATTGTCTTGACAGAAGTCAGTTTCAACCATACGAGCCGGGGGATATGGATGTACCTTTCCTGTAGCCGGGCCAGCAGTGCGACCGCTCTGTCGCGATAGCCATTACCTAGCTCTGCACGGAACATAGCTTCCCACGTAGATGGCTGGAAAGCAGGATGAATTCTCATCCACGTGTATTTGCTGTAATACTCACCTCGCGGTACGACAGGGATGGCGATGGGGACGTACGCTGATTGGAGCCTTCATGAGGAACATGGTTACCTGAGGCTGCGACGCCGCTGGGGGGATCCACCAAGTTCTCAAATATTCTTCGAGCTTCTTCAACGTCCCCGGCGGCAGCATAGCCCTTAATCAAGAGATTGGCGATGTATGCCGTCATATGTACACCAGACGACTTCAACTTCTCCATGTAGCTGGGTGCAAGAGCCATCTGCTTGTTGGTGACGAGCACATTGATGAGGGATTCATAGGCGACAGCATCAGGTGTTGGGATAGAGTCGAAGGTACTGATCGCCTTCCTCAAGTCCTTCTTCACGCAACCATATGCGTTGATAAGGGCAGCCCAATGGCTACCTTGAAGTACCACCGACCTATTGTTTCTGAGGAGCTCAAACACGCCTTCCATAGCGCTGACGTCGACCGGCTCAATAGTTCCATATGCATCAATGAGCAGCTGAAACGCACATTAAAGATGAGTAGATAATACAATTAGATAACATACCTTATATGTGTGCGCGGAAGGCTTGACACCAGCGAGAAGAAGCTGATCATAATAATGGAGCACCCTCTCACGATCAGGCTTTGTGTGCGCATACAGTTGCATCATCATATTGTAGGGTGGGATGCGAGGCTTGAAGTTGGGCTGCGAAGACATCTCCAAGAACAACTGCTCGGCAGACTGAGCATCACCGACACGCGCGCAAGCGGCTATGACGGCGCCGTATGTGATTGAGGATGGGCGGACACCAGGCGTAGCCTTCATCTGCTGGAACAGCTCGAGTGCGAAGTCAGCCTTGCGCGCTTTGGCCAGCTTGGAGATGATCGTGTTGTATAGGTAGACATTCGGCGTGCATCCAAGCATCTGCGCGTCACTGAAGAGAGCCATGGCATTCGAGGTGTCATCTGTGGTGTCCTTGACACATTCTATGAGAGATCCATAGGCATCAGGAGAAGGAATTCCGCCATTGGACGTAATGCGATCTCGATGCTGGAACGCGGCTTCCATGTCTCCGGCATGTGCGCATGCGATAATCATCTGGTCTTCGATTTGGAACCACGCCTGAGACTGCCACTGTTTGTTATCGATCGAGGATAATACGATTTGCGCGATGTCATACAGGCTATGCACCTTGTCGAGATCACCGACACGTCCAAAGCCGTTGATGAGCCGCCCCAGGGTAGAGGGATGAACGTACTTGCTATTGGCAATTCCGTCTTGGAGGCGGCGGTAGGCCCCATGGATCGTTACGGTGGGGTGCGATGGGAACCATTCATCGACGTAGCGGCTGAGCGTACCATCGACAACGATATCCTTGATGGGAGGATACATCTGCACCACAGGATTAGGCGACAAGTTGCGCGACTCGGTGGGCTTCTCGAGTGCGATACGGAAGTCAGATGACACCTTTCCAAAGAATTCATCCCGCTGCTCCTTCGAGTAGCCAGCATATAGCGCATCCGAAAGATTGGAGATGAGGCTTGCTTTCAATTTAGATAACTGGAGGTTTTGCTTTGAAAGTGCAGTGAGAAGGGGGATAAGGCCCTTGTATGCATAGTTTTTGATTGTGATGATCTGCTCCATATCGGTCTCTGCTGAAAGAACGGCGAGGGCACTCGACAAGAGTGCTTCATGTTCACGGAGGCCAATCGCATATTGCGACATGTTACCGCGGTTGCAGGTCGACATGTAGGTGTGTAGGTAGAGGACCGCCAACTCTTTGCTCAAAGAGACATTTACTTTGTTCGCTAGTTGGACAAGCCTGAGCACATCTTTGAAAGCCGGCGCATTCTTCTTAGCTCCGGATGTGCTGATGGCCCCAGATTGGAGGTAGTTGACATTGGCTTCGAGAACAAGAGTATGGTCTAAACGGCGCACTTCGAGGCCGTCGCGAGGGGCACATTCAACAAGAATGTCATAGAGCCTATTGAGATCTGCAATCATGCCCTCCTGAGCGAGGAAGTCAAGCATCACAACCCATGCAAGCTGGTCAGGGCGAGGGGGGACAAGAGAAGATTCATGCGGATGCCGGGCTGCTTCACCCTGCTGTAGCAGGCGGTCAAACCAGGACAGAGCACTTGTGACGTCTCCCGAGTAACAGAAACCAGCAATGATGGACGAGAACGTGGACGAAGAGGGCGAGGGAACCTCCGGCGAGAGTTCAGCGGGGTTGGCATTGCTGTCCATCATGGTTTCCAGGAGGCGGAGAGCACCTGCAGGCTGGCCACCACGGAAGTAAGCTTCAATCATTTTGTTCCAGACAAGTAGTTGTCCCCGAGTGATCGAGCTGGCTACGGCTGCTTCAGGAGCTGCGGAAAAATCAAGTCCTTTAACGCGGCCTGCCTTGCTAGCTTCCCTGAACTCTTGGAAGACCTCCTTAGCGCCCTGCAGATCATTTGCATTGGCGTACACAGAAAGCAGATTCAAGAAGACTTGAGGGCCAGGGAGGAAATCAGTGCGCGATTCCAGCTGCGCAAATACGCGAATGGCAGCATCCACATCAGCTTGGAATGCACATGATCGGAGAAGATTGGTGTATATCGCGAGAGGGAACTTGTTGCGTGCGCCAACGTTCAACGCCGCGTCAAACATAGACATGGCAGTGGCAAAGTTGTTCTCTGCCTTGAGCTGCTCAATGCGCTTCTCATCTGCTTCATTCAGAGCGACCTCCTGGCGACCAATAAGCTTGCGGCGCTTGACGCGACCATCAAGAACTCCAATAGACTTGTGGACCTCGTAATCGCGCTCGGTAAGAGCGAGAATAAGAGAGATGTAGGTGCGAACATTTGGCTTGAGGGAGCGTCGGATCATGTCATTGTATGTCTCGAGCAAGAGTGTAAGAGGTTCACCAGGGCGACGAGTTTCGTGGAGACCAGATAAGGCCATGTTGAACTCTGAAACCATGGGGTTCTTATGAGTTGTGCGAAGGATGTGAACCTCGTGGATGACACTGGCACCATCACCAGACCGCGCTGCCCGACGAAGAGACTGATACATTGCGGAAACTTTACCACTCTCATCGTCTGCGGCTGGGTCTGCCACGGACTGCGGGGCTGCGGGATCAGTGGGTATGGATTTGCCAGATACTGAAGGGACCAGAGGCGGGGGTAAATCATCAATGGAACCTGACGCACTCAGTGAGGCTGTGGAATTACGCCGTGTGAGAGCCCGCGAAGAATCAGAGGGAGACTCGTCGAGCGCTTCGCCGGATGCAGCGAACGTGTGTTTTGAACGAACGTGTAGTTGGACGGTGTGCAAGACACCTAAAGAGTCTTCTTGTCCATGCTCGTGCTCACTGAGTGTACCAAGAGAGAGACTGTGCCGACGGGTAATGGTACGCTTGGAAGAGCGGGGCTCGACGCGCTTGGGAACGATTTCGTCGCGCTCATCGCTCTGTTCAGAGTTCCCATCATGTGAGGTAGATGCATTTGCTTGTGTCACAGCACGCCCGGCGCCCTGGAAGCTATCAGAATCATATCAGATCTAAAGATCCACAGCAACTGACCGTATACCCGTTATAGAACCGACTACCTGCATTGAATTTTGCGCCGCCCGGGCCAGCACCATTGCTGCCCCAGCTTGAGCTGCCGGCACCAGTCCATGCTGTAGGGGCGCTTGGTGCAGATG